ATATGAACATAAGTAGACTTTTCTAACTACATAAAGTACTGATGCAGTAAACCTTCTCAAATAGTTTTTGCTGAAATACATGAAATTAATAGCGAAGGTCTCTAATTTTGCATTACTGAATGGGATGGAAGTTTTCCCATTAACTTAAATTAGTTGTTTGGAAAGAATGAGGGTCCTCCAACAACTTATTTCTTTTGCAGTTGTCAGGTTGAAGTTGTTGTTTCGGTGGGTGTTTTCAATAATTTGTTTTAGCTTAGCTTTTTGAAATGCACAAACAATAAAGTCAAAGAATAGAATATAAAATTCAATCTAAACATCAGGAACATTAAGTTCTGATGATCTCTTACTTAAAAAGCAATCATAGCTGTTACGTTTAATCCATGAGAGGTTCACATCTAAATTGTTGCTCAATTGCAAATCTCAACTAATTAACTGTACTACCTCTGAATGCATATAGTCCATTTGCATTAGCATTCAGGGGCCTTGAGAAGTGATTTTTATATGTATTAAGCCCCCATAAAAATATAAAATACATACATGCATATGATTATGATGATCAGTGACTACAAAGGAAATGGGTTTAAATGGTTACCTGAGCTCCTCAAATTAGACTGAGCATCACTTCCCAGAAGTAAGCTACTTTGAACATATGAACACCGAATTATAAAGTTGAAACTGTGAACTAATGACTGCCAAGACTGACTGCTTTCAACGTGTTTTGAATTCCCATATGCAGTTGCAAAAGCCTGAAAAACACCTTTCTGAGCTTTCCCATGACTTTGGGACTGTAGGGTACAGAAGACACTTTCCATGGAGGGTTTCAATTATTCAGATCTAGGACTGGTTGACATTACTAATTTCAAATCCAAGACGAGGTGCTGATCATTCTCAATTTCAAATGATTTTCACTAGACAGATCATGATCAACACCATGGAAAATCAATTCTATCAGCATTATCATTGCAACTCACAGACAAAGGCTACTTTTATGACTCAGACAGGTAGAAGTAAGCCTGGAGTCAGATGCTTTCAACTCTATCTGTTAGTAACTGAACTGTTCGTTCTTTTCATCTTGCACTTACCGTTTCAAGATACCACCAGTAACCAGTGCTTTTTGGGAACAAAAGTTTATTAAGAGAGTTGAAATACCACTGTGTTGATGTTATTTACTTGGTTGAAAAAATAAGAAACGTGTTGAACAGACTGTAGAACAAAGAAGTCTTTCTGATGTGGGGGAAAAAGAAAATAAATACATATATATATATACACATATACACACACACACAATTGAAATTTCAAACTGGACTTTATTTTGTTCTATGTCTACCTACTACTCAAATAGTTAAGTTCAGAAAGCTATGAAGTGAGCCATCTTTTCTATGGCAACAACACTAAGACAAATGCTGTTTCCATCATCTAATTTATTTGTATTGATGCGATTTTATGGTGATGCTTAAAATGTGCTCAAAATGCCTAGCATTTCCCTCCCACTGAAGGAATTTAATTTGTATTATTTTAAGCTCATAGTTGAAAGACTGTCAAGATACCACTATAGCGTATACTTCAAGCACACAATTGTCAGTACTGATAGTCTATCAAAAAGGTTAGGCTCTAATAATATTGAAATGGAAAACATAATGAAAAAGGAATACTGCTAAAGGGATACGGTACCTTATGGTTGTTGGATGTGCTATAAAAATACTTCTTTATACTATGTAGCATGAGCAGTTGCTTTCTTTTACAGAGTATGCATAATCATCTCTTAGAGATACACAGCAACAGGACCTGAAAGTATGTGTTCATGTTTCCTTCTTGTTCATAAACTCTGAGGTCAGTATTTTCTCCCCTTTAAAGTCTCTCAAGTTTTGAAAATTAAATAATCTGTATGTACCAAGGGTCAAGTGGGTGGGTTCCAGGCACCTATGTCCAATAAATGGTTGAAAAAGTTCCAGTTAAAGTCTGTAGGGCACTTAAGACTTCCAAAATGGAGATTTTAAAAGATGAAATCTGCAACTGAGAGAAGAAATTAAAAGAAAAATCTGGAACTAATTCCAGGGTAACAGACCTAAATTTATATCCATGACTGATGGTGCATTCTTACTTGTAGCAGCTATATATTCTGAAGAAAGAAATACAGGTGCATTTTTCTAGAGAAGATGATGTAGCATACATTAATGGTGATGAAAGTTAGTGTCCAGGGACAAATTATTTGGTAAAGGTGTAACATTATTGGAAAAATTCTGAGGATTATAAATGACAAACAAAGTGAATTTAAATCTGATTGTGAGACCACTTTCAACTTTACAACACAGTTTCATAGCAGGACCTGAGGAGAATGAGTGAAGCATACGGAAAAAGCACTAAGCAACATCGTCTAAGGGAGATTCTGTCTCATCTCAAAGATGAAAACTTTTTTTAATAAAAGGTGTAAAAGGAGTAGATGTCCAATACAGCAATATTTATTAAAACCAGCTGCATTTGTTAAGCAGGCACACGTACTTCTTATTGATTTTTTAATATTGAAGAAAATGTCCAGAGTTAGTTTCTTGGCTAGCAGCCTGATAACTTAACAAATTGCTCACCTGCATAACTTACATGAAATATTTCAGTCTCTGAGGACATTCAAGGTTTCAGGTTCTCAACTTAGAAGCAGGTGCAGAAATCAAAGCTCTTTATAGTCAGGATGTAAGTTTTCCAAAAAGTAGGAAGAGTTAATAAATAACAAGCCTAGGAGGAAGCTAGCAAAAAACCCTCCTCATTCCGAATGCAGCAAGGTAGAACAATAAGCCTGAATGGATGAAAAACTGAGACCAGAAGATCACAGAATCATCGCTTTCCTTCCCAGGGTTTTCTGTCGCAAACATTGATACAATTAGGCTGGGAGGTGACACTACAGAGAGCTTTTGAGTTTTGATGTTATCACATTTTATAGGTGTGAAATTTGATAATTTCACAGGTATGCAAAATAATTCCTCTAGATGCTATATCATTTTACGACAGGTAACATGTACACTAGGGTAATTCTTCAGTCTTCCGAATGTATTTATTATTTACTAGTGTTTACTTAGAAGCCTACTGTGAAATCTCTCCTTGTTCGTACCAGTCTGGTATTGAACACAGAGGAGGAATATCATTCACACAAAAGTACTGCGTATCTCTCTTCATCCTTATTGCACAGAAACTCTTGGAAGAATTTCCAGAAGATGATGAGTGAAGTTAAGAGGATTCTTTATCTCCAGCTTTGGTAGTTATCAGCTCCATTCTTTAATTGAAACTGAAGTGAGCAGCTGTTAGCTTCCCTTCTATTTAGCACTAATGTGATATATTTGAAACAATAAACAGCTAATGTTATCTGATTTCTTACAACCAGCACCCTCAAAAAAACACCTGCCTGTGATACACAGAGACAAGTGGTGAGCTGTTTATGTGATCAAGTTGGCTGTTTAGAACTGCCCGCGTGTACGAAAGTTGTAGGAGCATTTATTCTTACTTTCAGAGGAAGGAAAGATAGATTCATTTGCATGAAACAGAGTGTGTTTGTGCCTGTCTGAAAGAGAGGAAGAGGGAGGGAGAAGCAACGGTATAGAGTTTGATACCTGTTGGCAACATGCGCAGGTTTGTGTAACGCCGTTATGTGCCAGGTTGGATTGATTCCACTCTATTTAGTCTGGTACTAAATGCAAACTGTTGGAAATGAGACAGATTCAAGACATGACTGAACAGCAATGAACCTCAAAGGAATTTCTGCCTATGTTAAGTAGTGTCACCTTCATGGTGGTAGGCAGGGTCTAAATCAGGATTTGAATTAATCTCTTCTATAATATCCACATAGAAACTGCCACAGGCTTTCTGTGCTGAAGCTTTGCACTGCCTCCCAGGGTCCACAGCCAAGCACCATGCACAGGTCTGATACTGTCTAGCAGGGATGCTGTCTGACGACAGCTCAGGGCTCCCGATTGGGATGCTGCTACCCAGCAGACACCGTAGACAAGCAGAATGTAAGGATACATTACTCCTCTGCCTTCCTCAAACAGAAGATGAAGTGTTTAGTGGAACAGCCAGCTTTAGGGGTCGACAGATTCCTGCATGTCTTCCCTGGGAGCCTTGGCAGCGATGTGCCTAATGAGTGACTGGAGCTAAGGGGCTTTCTCCCTCTCTGAAGTTTCAGCTGGGTGCATTATCTGTTTAGTCAACCAAAGAAAGGGAAGGTAAAAAACTTGTGAGACAGAGATGACTCCTGTCTAGTTACGGCTAAAGATTCATTCCCATCTCAGCTTTTAAGAGGAAAAGCAGTGTTTCTGGGAAGCTTGCCTCTATGAAAGTAGGAAAGAAAGCTATCACACCATTCGTATTTATTTACCTCTGGGGTGTAAGGCTTTAGGGGGAGGCAAAGTGGTGATAAATGAGGGGCATTTTCCCCCCTCATGGTCCTTCCAGCCTCCTCCTCCTTCATTTACATATCTGGCTGGTGCGTGATTTTTATTCTCAGCACGAAAACTGCAATCTATTTCAATGCATGAATGCAGCCCTGCATCTATTCAACACACTGAAATAGCCCTGAGACTTATTGTACTAAATAAGAAAACAAGGAGAGAAATGGGCTCTCCAGCCTTGGAAGCAATCCTCTGTGGTCCAAAGTCCCTTTGATCCTTTAAGAAGAGGTTAGGGAGAGAAGGAAAAAAAATACAAACATGACACTCCAAAAAAAAAAAAAAAAAACAAAACAGGAGAAACAGCCACACCGCCACCACTCCTCCTTCCCAGGGGAATAAATAAGTAAGAAAACCTAACTAGCATCCCATGACATTTCCATTATCAGGAATTTCAAACGTCTGACTTAATAAGCCACTACAGTTCAGCTTAATGTCATACCTATTAACGAGGAAGGCACTCGCACGGTGCACCGTGCGAGAACACAGACACTAAGTCAAAAAGAGATCTACAGAGAGACAGCCCTCTGCCAGCGAGACATGAATAATATCCATAAAACGAATACTCACTCTCTTAAGGACCGAGGGAACCGCTCGCTGACAGCCACTTCACGCACGGATTGGAAGGGCGAGGTAAAAACACATTAGCCAGTCCCTGTGAACACGCAGGATTCTCCAGGTTTTCTTTGCAAGCTCTCCGAAGCTGCTGATGCTGGAGGAGATGCTGCTCACGGAGCTTCTCCCCTTTCTGTGCCTGCACGCTGAGGTGCAGTTGTTAATTTCTCCCCTTGCACACGCCAGCGGCAGCAGCACGACTCCAGGAGAGCGGGGATATTCCAAATAGATCCACTAATTCCGGGGTCTGAGCGCTCCGGCGCGCCTGCCTGCCAAATGTAACTGTGAAGCGATGTGGAAAAGTGAGCGGGGAGCCTCCCCTGACAGCTCTTATTGGGCTGATCTCGGAGGCAGGTCTAGCGCTCGCAAATTCATGCAAGCAGTTTTGGGTGGCGGTTCTTCCCCCCTCCCTCTCCTCCTCGCCCCGACACCCCGCCTTCCCCCCGCCGAGCACACAACTTTTCCGCAGGCCGCGGCGCCGCTCCGCGCCGGGGCGTCCCCTCAGGACAGGAGGGAAGGGAGCGAGGAGGAGATAGGCTGTGTGCGCGGGGGCCACCGGGGAGGCGCCGCCGGGGCCGGGAAGTGTCCAGAGCAGCTGGGGGGCTGAGGGAGGGAGAAAGGAGGAGCCCCCCCACCACCACCACTCCCCCGCCCTCTGAGGCGATGCCCGCCACGAAGGGGAGGCCGAGGCCGCAGGGAGACGGGCACCGCGGGTTAGGATCAGGGGACGCGGCTCCGGGAGGAGGCAGGACCCCGGGGAGGGCTGCGGAGGGCCAGGAGGCGGCTGCTCCTGTTCGCGACAGGCGCTGCGGGAGCGGCAGGCGGGCGCTTCGCGGACATCCCTTAGAAACCCTTTTCCAAACCAAGCCCACAGAACCGCAGGCATCTAAATTTTCGCCCGTACTGGTTTAAAGCCACGGGTGGCAATGAAATTTTAACCAGGAGCGTGAGCCAGCCTAAACGCAGAGCAGAGCCAAGACCTCCACGCAGCAAGAGATGGCTGAAGGGCACCCGCGGTACAGTAAGTTGTTGACCAGCGCCCCGTTTCCAGATCTTTTTTTTTTTGTGACGGGCATCCTGCACAACCCCAGCTTGGAAAGTACTGGGAAGGGGCTGAGGGACCCGGAACGTTGAGTATCCTCCACTGCCTTTGACTTTAAAGAGCCGAGGAGTGCTCATCCCTTCCGCAGTCATGGCACAGACAGGGCTGACAGCAGTGCCCGCACCCAGCACCATGCTAGAGGTCAAACCACCCCTTAGCCCGTCTTCCTTAGCAGCTGGGTTTGTAAGTTCTCTTTGTGCTGCACGTATTATCTGTTAGCATATTAAATGTATTTAATGGTTACATACATTTAGCTCTAAATGTTACTGCCACCTATATTTTTTTCCCCAAGTTTAATGTTTACCAACAGGTAAGAGGTTCGTATTGTGCCAGGAGCACAAGGTATAGATATGGTCAGGTACAGACTGACTCTTAAAATGGAGGGCTGATTCAGCACTGAACTTGTACAGCTGGAAGGTTAAGTGCACTCAGACCCGTCCTCGTTCTCCAATTTCCCTTGACCAATATTACACTATGCTTAAGATGAGCAGTCAGTGTGGTTCTGTATTATTAAATCTGGTTTGTTTCTTAACTTTATTTTTAAATGACTGGCCATCTGAAACTCATTTATATAACCTGAAAATCTTTTAACCTTAAGCAAAAAATATGACTAGATTGCTGAAGATCTGTCTAGGATTACAGAAAGTGGAGCCTAATATTCTTCCATGTAGTAACAATACTATCTAATTTAGTTTTGTGATGGTTATTTTGCAGCTATTATGTGTATGTGCATGCACGTAAGACAGTGAATGAGACACCTGCATTTTGAGCTTTTACATGCTTCTCTTCAACTAAATACAATTTCTTGCACAAATAGTTACTCTGAAAAGTCTCAAACTCATCAGAATGTAGCAAAATACACCCAGAATTCAACATACGGCAATGAAGAAATACCTATTTCTTTTGCTTCCGACAGCCCAAACATTTACTTTCCAAGCTGTGAGCATGGGATGATTCCTTGGAGAAGGATGGATATAAAATACACAATACTTACCTGAAGCAGGCAGAGAGCCTTGAGGGAAATACAAAACACTTTGCAGTGCAGTAGATAACATCAGAAATGTGGCTTCCCTTCACCTGGAGTTCCTCTCAGGCAAAGGGTATTTTTCTCCCCCATCCTTCCACCAGCTGAACAGCACACTGAGAACATAGATGCTGCCACAAGGAAACGTGAGGATGTTCATCCTGACTTTACTCCTGGTAATTAATGACGGTTTTCAAACATTTCTGTAAGGTTCCAGAAAGCGTAGTTCAAGTCTTCTTTTTATTTCTATTAAAATATTTTATAGAAACAACCAAGAACAAAATTTCTTGCTAATAAGAATGGGTTAGATTCCTTGTGTTTATGCTTAAAATGATCAGTGCAGTTGTGTGCAGGAAGAGAGCTAACAATAGAAGTTGTACCTTCTAGTACAGCTTAGAAGTTTAGGTTTTGTTTTGATTACAACCTTTGACTTTCACCATTTGTTCTGAGTGACCTTTCTTGCAGTTGGAAATTACTGGGGCAAATGCTAGGCTGTTTTATCCTTAAGTTATTGTAGGAAAGAGTGGCAGGTGTCTTGTTAAAATGGATTACATCATCCATGGATTCCACTGCTGGAAAACCTTTCAGATGATGGTGTAAGTCTTGGCAGGAAGAAGTGTATGGACATTTAATTTTAAAATAATCTTGGAATAGCAAAGGAACATTTACAGCTTCCTGCATCCTATCCAGATTTAATGATTTGGTGTTATCATTGTGATACATATGTATACACACAGGCATGGCCCTGATCAGTATATGCTGGCCAAAAAATTGTTTCCTCTTAATACGTATTATGAGGAAGATGCTTCCTCTACTGTCCTAAATGGTAATTTTTTTTTAAGCAAAAAGCAGCTCTGACTCCAATTGAAATGAGATACAGGTTTTTGGTAACGTAACTGTAAAGAAGAGAAAAAAAAATCATCTGCAAAATGTGAGTGACAGAATGCATTCTGGATCAAACTAGAATTAATTTTTTATTAATTAAGTCCTTGTATCAGGGAAAAAAAAAAGGGCTTCACAAAATGCCTTGGTTTGTGGTGAGTGAGGGTTATTTTTTGTCTGTGTGTTTTGGGGGAGGGGTTGCTTGGGGTTTGTTTGGGGTTTTTTTCTTCCATCTTTTTGTTTAGGGACTTTTAGTTTCTGATTTGGTTTTGTTGGGGATTCTTTTGTAGTGAATTCTTTTGTTTTGTAGGGTTTTGTTTTCTGGCTTTTTTGGGTGTTGACTGACAATGACTGATAAAGGTGGAAAAATTAACCTCTGTTTGGAAGAGAACTCGAGGTGTTTCTTTCCATATTACGTTGCTTTTATGAGTGAGAAGAATTAAAACCCCAGTGTGACTTCTCATTCATATATACAGGAAATACCTGTCTATCATCTACAAATGTGGCATAATAGAATTCAAGCATCTTTTCACCCTTTTATATTTTTGTGAAAACAGCTGTTGATTATCATGTAATTTCTTTCTTCCTCAACATTGCAAAGCAGTGCAGTAAACTGTTTTCTGAAGACAGAATTTAGACCTTACTGCTCAAAAATATTCAATACAGGTGACTTGAAATGAGCTCTTTCGGGGCAACTCAATCACAACACTGCTTCACACGGGCTGCTGCTAATGTAAATGTTCATCATAATCTCATTTAAATAACAAAGGACAAGTTGAGAATTTGAAAGGGGTGGGGAGGAGAGTGAAAGGATGCAAACCTGGAAAGGAAACCACTGTGCTAATTCCTCATATTCAAGTTTTATTCAATCAGATCTCTTAGTAATGAGGTATTTCCCTGAAAGTCTCAGTATCAGTTTTTAATAAACAATACAGAGCCTGATCCAAAATTATCTGAGGTTAATGAGTCCAATCTGAATTACTTGATCGAGATAAATGACTTTACTGCAAACTACTTCTGCTTACAGAGACTACCACTAGCATGCCACTTCAAAGTAATAATAATATAAAATAACTCATCCAAAAGTTATTAAAGCAAGTTTGCAGAACATTAGTGTAACCTACTGTAATTCTACTAAAGCTTTAAAAAATTCAGTGCTGTTTTCTCAGGCCATATCCAAATGCTCTCCCTAGTCTGTACTTTTTTTCTGACGTTGTGTAAGGAATTATTCCAGAATTCAATTTAACTTGAAAGGCTAGAATTCACATTCCATAAAGAAAGAAACAAAAGACTGAAGATAAGTCCTGAACATTTCTGAATAATAATGTGCTTCTATCAATCAGTTCACTATGCCAGTGGAGAGACATAATTAGCTTTAGAACATAGGCTCTTATCACCATCTTGGAACCTTTAAAACCTGCTTGTGTACAGTTATCACAAGTTGGTTATCATGAAAAGTAATGATCCCCTGTGTTTGGGAAGTCAGTAAAGGCATCTGTAACTTGAAAAAGTTCTACTATATAGTGCTTACAACTGATACTACAGATTAAAACAGAGGAAGTGATATGCATGTGCCATAAGATAAAGGTATTTGGTATGGGGTAGGTTGGGGGGTTTTTTTCTTGTTTTTTTTGTGGGTGCATTTTTTTTTTTTTTTTGTATGTGTATGTGGGGTTTGGGTTTGGGTTTTTTTGTTGTTGGTTTGTTGGTTTTGGGGTTGGTTGGTGGTTTTTTTGGGGTTTGTTTTTTTTTTGGTGGTTTGTTTTTGGTTTGTTGTTTTTTTACTACATATTCAAAATCAGTTAAAATTCAGTCTCCAACACTGGAACAGAAAGCGTGAAAAAACCCACTGAAGAACGAACAGACCATAAAGCAATAGCATCCATAAGTGACAAAAAAGATTCTCAGTCATCTAAAAATACTTGCTTTCCAGTCTGGCCTTCTATTAGAGACATCTAATCAAAGTCCTTCCCCTTGTGACTGGGTACATGAGAAGAAATAAATGCATTGATTTTGACTACGTTACTTCTACTTTGAACACATTCTTATAATCATGCAAATTCCCTTTCCAGCCCATGCACCGTCGAACAGAAACAAAGGTTTAACTGAACAGCAGCACTGGGCTTTTAGGCCCTTAGCAAATCCTTTCCCTGTCTCAGAATTACTCCATTTAGTAAAATAAAGGATAACTAGTTTTAAGCCCACTTTCCTCTCCAGAGATTTTAAAATATAAACCCCCCAACTGCTAATTTGTGTACTGTATGCACCAATGACATTACTGAATGCATAAAAATAATGA